GACCTTGCGCTTACCAGGCAGGCATTTATACCACTGAGCTATATCTCCGGCCCTTTTTTTTCTTTTTGAGATAGGATCTTGCTATGCAGTTCAGGCTGGCCTTGAGCTCACTTTGTAGCCCAGGCTGGTCTTGAACTCGCAACTATCCTCCTGCCTCAGCCTCCCGAGTGTGCCACCACATACGGCCAAGGCCGTGTTGATTTCTGCGCCGTCGCAGGATTATGTGCTCCAAATGCGAAATAAGATGAACTAGTGAATCTGATGTAATAGTCCCATTTGAAGGACTGAGTTCTCAGAAGAAAGCTATCTTGAGGTCCTCCCACGCTTAGGGGGCCAAGAAAGAGCACCCTTAGAAATTGCACCCTTACCGTATTTTCCATAATGACTCTAAGGGGTTTTTCCAAAACCTGCGGTTCCATCGCTTCAGAATAGAGATTCAGCTTTGTGCCTCACACCCGTGTCCTGGGGGTTAAAGGGGTTGAATCTGGGGCCTTCACACTGAGCCCCAGCCCCAGCTTTGTGCATCACTGTTTCCAGGCTGGACCCAATCCTTTTTCTTTCCCCTGGTATCTGAACTCAAACTCAGGACCTTGCACTTGCCAGGCAGGCACTTGTGCCACTGAGCTATATCACTGGCCCCTGGACTCAAACTTGCAATCCTCCTGCCTTAGCCTCCCAGAGTGCTGGGATCCACCGGTGAGCCAGGATGCCTGCCTCCAGCTTTGTGCTTTACTGAGAAAATGATTGTTCCTGGGGGCTGGGGATTTAGCTCAGCGGCAAAGCGCCTGCCTGGCAAGCGCAAGGTCGTGAGTTCAGTTCCCGGTACCGGACAAAAACCAAAAACCAAAAAAAAAAGCAAATGATTGTTTCTTAAATGAGAATGCTCTTCCAGTCTCAAAATTTCACTTCCCAAGGTTAAATCTCCCTGGACTTCAAATTTCATTTTTTCCTAGACAGTCCTCAGTCTGGTTCTATTCGGCCCACCTCACTTTTATCCTCAATTTAGTCACTACCTTCTTCCCTTTTAAAAGATATTCACACTGAAGCCGGGGGTGGTGGCACAGGCCTGTAATCCCAGCACCTGGGAGGCTGAGGCAGGAGGATTATTGTGAGTTCATTACCAGCCTGGGTTACAAAGTGAGCTCAAGGCCAGTGTGAACTGCATAGCGAGTCCCTATCTTAAAAAGACAAAAAACAACAACAACAACAACAACAACAAAAAATGTGTTCTCATCTTTAGGGGAAGAGGGTTATAATCCCCTAATAATCTTTTTCTTTGTCCTGGAAAAGTGTTAGACACATGCCAGACCGGAGAGATTCTCAGGTTTGTGGGAGCCCTGGCTGAGATCTGTGCTGTCTACTCGATACCTGTGCTGCCTGTTGGAGTGCGGTGCATTAAGCTGGCATCTACCCTAGGCGTATTGTGACCCGCTCACCCGTTCCATGCAGTGCTCCCATCTGACCAGACCTCATGGCACTTTGCAGTAGTGCTTCCCAGTTTTTATTCTGGCTGAACACACTGGGAGGATACAGCTCATCTGTCCAGTGATGATAACAGAGGTGATTTATAACCAGGAAGGAAAATGTAGCTAAAGGAACCCTCACCCCCTATGTTTCTAGAATTTCCTATCTGCCTTTTTCCTTGTTTTCTTGTGGCTCTCTTGGCCTCTGTCTCTTGGTTTTATGTTTATTTATTTTTGAGACAGGGTCTCTCTCTAATCCAGGCTGGCCTTCAACTCACCGGGCAGCACAGGCTGGTCTCAAACTGAGCCACCCTTCTGCCTCAGCCTCTCGAATGCTGGGGTCGCAGGTGTGCGCCACCAGGCCCAGCTCGTCTCTTGGTTTTATTCCCTGCTTTGGCGTCAGCTGTTACCTTCATCTGTATCTCAAACAGCTTCTCTCTCAAGATCTGTCCAGAATTTCATTTCCTTCTGCCTGATAGATGTCATCTCATAGATGTTGTGTTAACTTTAGTATGTCCAACCCCCGTGCCTGATTTTTTTTCAGTGCTAGAGATTGAACCCCAAGCTTTGCACATGCCTGGCAAGTGTGCCTCCACTGAGGCGCTGTCAGCCCCATGACCTTTTTTTGTTTGCTTTTTGAGACAGGGTCTTGCTGTGTGATTCAGGCTGGCCTGAAGCTCACTGTGTAGTCCATGTTGGCCTCAGAGTGCTGGGATTACAAGCGTGTGTCGCTACACCCAGCCTCAGCCCCACAGTCCTAACTAACACCGTCACACACCCACAGTGACAGACCTCTTTCTCTTGTTTCTTACTTCTTTGAACAGCATTCCAAGCCCCAGGTTTCTTAACTTGGAGGTATTCTCAGCTTTGTTCTAATCCATTCATTTGACAAATCCAGGGGCTGGGGATTTAGCTCAGCGGCAAAGCGCCTGCCTGGCAAGCGCAAGGTCGTGAGTTCGGTTCCTGGTACCGGAGAAAAACCAAAAAAAAAAAAAAAAAAACAAAAAAACAAAAACAGACAAATCCTGCCCTTCCAAAATAACTTTTTTTTTTTTTTTTTGGTCTTTTTGAGACAGGGTCTCGCTATGCAGTTCAGGCTGGCCTTGAGCTCACTTTGTAGCCCAGGCTGGCCTTGAACGATCCTCCTGCCTCAGCCTCCCGAGCCCTGGGATTACAGGCGTGCGCCACCACACCCGGCTATAACCTTTATTTCCATATTTCCATCGTCTCCACTGCTGCTGTCCCCGCCTTAGCTTAGTGAAGTTTTTGCTAATTTGAGACTAGGACAGTGGGATTGTGTCTGTTGGTCTAGTCTCACTCTTCTAGCCCAGCTGGGCCATCTGTTCCTTCATTGGCTTTTCTATCAGCCCATCAGAGAGGGAGTCCTGTGACTGGTTATTTTTTGGCCATGGTGTGGGGATGGCAGGAGAAAACGAAGGAGGGCCAGGGATATAGCTCAGTGGCACAAGTGTCTGTCTGCCTGCCTGCCAAGTGCAAGGTCCCGAGTTCGATTCCAGGTACCAAAAAATAAATAAATAAAAAGTAAGCAAAGGAGAGTTGAGTGAAAGCTACAGGGTCTGTGGAGTGCTTGTTTGCAACCTTAGTATCTCGCCCTGTGGGCTTGTGTTTTTGTCACTGTGCATAGCTTAGGACAGTGGCGGCGAGACACCTTGCAGAGCTTTCAGTGATATCCCAGCCTGCTGCAGCATAGCTTCGCCTCCAGTGGCTTAGGGTCATTACAGACCTCGGGTAACCTTTCTCATCTTGAGCCTGTGTCCTTCAGTTTTCTTTCTCAGACCTTACTTAATGAATGCCACTTTCTTTGGCAGAACTAGAATTCAAAGAGGCTGTGCTTTGGCTCATGGACCCCCCCCCCCCCCCCCGCCTTGGGGCCATCCTCACAGCCTGCCTGAAAGGCAGTGTTCAGCTGTTCGGCTCATGCATCTCCTACCCACTGTCAGCTGCCTACACAGCTTGAGGTTATCTTCTTCCAGATGTTCCACTTTTTGAGACAGGTTGTAGTTGTGTTGCCGAGGCTGGTCCTGAATTTTTAGTTTCAAGCTATTGTCTCCTGCCTCAGCTTCCCAAGTAGCTGGTGCTAAAAGCATGCTACCACCCGTAGCCCAAGTTGAAGGAACTACAGCTGCACCTAAGTAGGTGTCTTGCTATGTAGGCCAGGCCAACCTTGAATTTGGAGTCCTCTTGCCCCAGGCTCCCGAGTGCTGGGGTTACAGGTGTGTGTTGCCACATCTGGCTTTGGTCAGTCTTTTAATTTCATTTCTCTCAACAGAAGGAAGCCTGAGAACTCAGTCCCAAATTGAGGAACATTTTGTTCTGGTCAAGGGGTACACACACTAAACTTGCCCTTGTTTCCCAGCTCACAATAGCTGGGGAAGAGTTAAATTAGAAGTCATGCTGGGCGTGGTAGCACACGCCTGTAATCCCAGCACTTGGGAAGCTGAGGCAGGAGGATCTTGCAAGTTCGAGGCCAGCCTGGGCTACAAAGTGAGTTCAAGACCAGCCTGAGCTGCATAGTGAGACCCTGTTTCAAAAAGATAACAATAAAAAAAAAAAAAATAGAAGACATATATATCATGCAAATGAGATATATATATGAGTTAAAACTTACCGGGGACAAATATATATGAGTTAAAACTTACTGGGGACAGGACCCAGGAAGATTGTTTTTAGCCCTTGGGACAGGTTCTTAATGTTCAATTTAGAACTTAGAATTAAATGCTATAGAAGGTGAAGCATAATTGAAATAATGTAAAAGCATTCTTTTAGGAATGTTATGGCTTAAACATGCTTTAAGACTACTGTGAACAAGATTGTTCTAATGGGAAAACAAATTGGATATTGGCTGGAAGATTCCCACTTGATCTTCTAGGAGAATAACTCTGCTAATGTTAAACCCTAGCTACTTCCATGAATATCGTGTGAGCCAAAAAAACATACATGCTTCAAGTAATACATGCCAGTTCAGGTCAGTTCTGAGTGGGCCAGTCACTTCTCTCCGTAACTGTGAAGCCAGGTGTCTGTAGTAGCATTCAGATGTACCTGGTTCCCACCGTGTGTCTGTCTCGTGTCCAGACCACGTGTGCCCTTTGGAATCAGAGTATCGTAAGACTGCTTGTGTGGGGCCATTCGGTGTAGACCCGGACTGAGCAGCATGCAGGTTAGGGAATGGTCCCAGGCGGAGGGCTGGGCTGGGGACGTGACCTTACGCCGGGTCTAACTGCAGTCTCTCTTTGTAGTGAACACCATGCCAACTGGCAAGCAGCTCGCTGACATCGGCTACAAGGCCTTCTCGGCCTCCATGCTGCTGCTCACTGTGTACGGGGGCTACCTGTGCAGCGTCCAGGCCTACCACTACCTGCAGCTGCGCAGCGCCCGGCGCCGGGCCGCCGAGGAGCAGAAGGGCTCGGGGGTCCTGTAGGATGGGGGTGTTTTCTCCTGAGCGTGCTGTGGAAAGACATCACCTGCTGATTTCCGGATCAAGAGGACTAGGAGCTTGATGGTTTCCAAGCCCTGCTGAAAGGAGGAGCCTGGGTTCCTGTGGTCCTGCCGGTGCAGCAGTGTGACAGTTTGTGGAGGCTGTCGAACCCTAAGGGAATGTGGGGGTGAAGTCGCCTGTAGACATTAAATACTTCGCCTTGTCTGTGTCTTGGTGGTTTTTTTTTCCCAAATAACATGTGGACCGTAGAAGTGGAGGCAGTTTTTGGCTCATGGACTGTATTACATACATACATATATATATATATATATATATATATATATTTTTTTTTTTTTTTATCTTTTTGAGAAGGGTCGCCCTTACTTTGAACACACTTATCCTATCATTTTTGGCAATATATCTTTTTTTGGTACCAGGAATTGAAGTGAGGACCTTATGTTTGCCAGGTAGGCACTTGTGCCGCTGAACTATATCCCTGCCCTACCATATTTTTTAATAATTAAGTTTATTGGTACAATTTAGATATGCATAGTGATCACATTCATCATAGTATTGCCATATTTTGAACTCTTTTTTCTTTTTGAGATATGGTCTCAGTGTGCTAGGTGTTGAACTCCTAGCAGTCCTGCCTCAGCCTCCCAAGTGCTGGGATTACAGGTGTGCGCTACCATGCCCGGCTGCTTTTTCAAATCAGTAGGCAGCTCCTTATGTATTGTGGACATAGGTGCTCTGCCAGTTGTATGTGTTGCAGATTTGACGGAAATGATCTTTAGGCTTTTGGTGGGAGGGGGAGCACTCTGTGTGCAGTGACAGCCTCAGCAGAGAGGCTCTGGGGATGACGATGGGAGACAATTTCTTTTCCTCCATTTTTTTTCTCATTTAAAAAAAAATGTCCCTTCCTTTTCCCCTCCCCTCTTCCTAATTGCCTTTCCCATTGGAACATTTTATTCCTATTTTACAGTATCTCTTGTCTTGGTTACTTTTCTCTCGTTGCTGACACAAAATACCAGACACCCAAAATTAAGGAAGGAAAGGCTTATTTAGCTCACAGCCCATCAGCTGGCTCCAAGGCAGGGCCTTGTGGCAGAGGAACAACTGTTCATGGCAGCAGAAGACAGCAAAAGCAACAAGAGCAAAAAGGGAGAGGAGCAAGAAGAGCAAGCTTCTTTCCCTCCTTATATTGTATGCAGGTGTCCACCCCACGGGACGGTGCAGCACTCACACCCATAATCCCAGCATTGGGCTATGGATCAATCACAAACTCTAGAAGCACCCCCTCCCCCATGACCGCTTGAGGCTTTCAGGGGACATCCAGACACAAACCATGAAAATCTGTTGTGCATTTTGATTTTTTTGGTATCGGGAATTGAATTTAGGACCTTGTGCTTGCCAGGCAGGAGCTTATGCAACGGAGCTATATCCCTGGCCCCTCTGTGATGCATTTTGGTCCTTATTTACAGTTGGTTTCTCACACCAGAGGAACAATGCAGTATTTATTTTTTGGTTTTGTTCTTTTTCTTTCTGAGACAGGGTCTCGCTCTGTAGTCCAGGCTGGCCTGAACTCACTATGTAGCCAGCGCTGGCCTCGAACTCACAGTTCTCCTCCTGCCTCAGCCTCCCCGAGTGCTGGTATTACAGGTGTGTGCCACTGCCCCTGGCACTTTTTATTTTTTGAGATGAGTTCTCACTAAATTTTCCAGGCTGGCGTTAGACTTGCGATCTTCCTTCCTCAGCTTCCTAAGTAGCTGGAATTACACACATACACCACCATGTCCAGAAAATGTTTTTTAAAATAACTTCTGAGACTTGGCTTTCTTGTTGAGGCAGAATGAATTTTTCAAAGATGGCTGCAACACTCCATTTCTTCTGTGGCCGTGCGACTCTAATCTCCTTGAATCTGGAGAGTCCATGGTACTGTTTTGATCAATAAAATATAGAAGTCGGACTAGGGGTGTAGTTCGGTGGTACAGCCCTTGCCTAGTGTGTGTATTAGGTCCTGAATTCAAGTCCCAGCACCACACAAACACACAAGCCCAGTGTAAATGATATGTGTGGCCATCTAGCCCCCAGCTGCCATTTGACTGCAATCACGAGATACTTCCAACTGAGCTCAACCAATGAAACCATAGTAAAATTAACAAATTCTTTTTAAACTCCTATGCTTTAGAGTGGTCTTAATAGATAATCACAGCACTGACTCATAAAATGGGGATAATGACCTCTATTTTTACCAAAGCATTTTCTAGTTCACTTATGGGTGGATATGAAGTAGTTTTTTAAGAAGTAAAGCATTATACAAACAACCTATTTTTCAGTAAATGATAAAACTCCTATGTCCAACAGAGAGGTAGTCTTGTTTCTCTTACAGATACCACTAGTTCTGTAGTAGCGAAAACGTGAGTCTCTGTAACTCATGCAGTATTAATTTGGATCTTTCCTCAAGCATGAAACCTCCCCAGGCCATATACAAAACCGACCTGAGAACAATCTTGCTGCACCAATAACACTACGAGCTTCTAGCTCTGTATTCAAAACCCAGCACCCTACCTCTCCCCCACTCCAGCCATGCGCACAGTTCCTCCTTAGAACAAGAGCCCAGTCCTGCGGGTGATCCTCATTCAAGGCAAACTATCACCAGTCTGTGTGTATGGCTAAAGGTTTCCTCCACATCTGTTCTGCTTATGAAATCTTGGGAAGTGATAGTATAGAGACAAAGCTTTTCACTCATTAGCTCTTTGATCTTTAGCAGGTTAGGTCCTGAGTTCAGTTCCTGGGACCACACACACACATATACACAAAAGCCCGGTGTACATTGTGTGTGTGGAAATCCAGTCCCCGGCAGGTCCTTAGCAGGACCTTTATTGCCTCATCTTTATTACATATCTTTGATACAGTGCCTGACTATAATAAGAGCTACGTGTTGGCTATTTATTTATTTATTTATTTTTTGTTTTTTTTTCTCCGGTACCGGGAACCGAACTCACGACCTTGCGCTTGCCAGGCAGGCGCTTTTGCCACCGAGCTAAATCCCCAGCCCCGCTATTTATTTTTTGGTACCAGGAATGGAACTCAGGACCTTGTGCTTGCCAGACAGGCGCTTGTGCCTCTGAGCTATATCCCTGGCCCTGTGTTGGCTATTTAAAAAAAATATTATATTCCTTAAACTTTTTTTTTTTTTTTGCCAGGGATAGTGGTGCACACCTGTAATCCCAGCACTTGGGAGGTTGAGGCAGGAGGATCGATGTGAGTTTGAGGACAGCCTGGGCTACACGGCGAGACCCTGTCTTACCCCCTCCAATTTGCCACCTATTCTTCAGAGGAATAATATTTAGAATATATAAAGAACTCAAAAGCTTAGTCTCCCCCAAATAAAAGACATGAAAAATAAGCAACTGAAATGAAAAGACACTCCTCAGAAGCTGTAGTAAAAATGATCAATAAATACACGAAAAAATGTTCAGCACCTCTGCCCATTAGAGAAATACAAACAAAACAACACTGAAGCTGGGCGTGGTGGCGCATGGCTGTAATCCCAGCACCGGGAAGGCTGAGGAGGGGGATCCTCACAAGGTTGAGGCAGTGACCTAGGCTACAAGAATGGCTAGCATCAACCAATCAAGTCAAATGCTGGAGAGGCTGCAGGAGCAAAAGGAACCCTTCTGCATTGTTAGTGGGAATATAAACTAGTACAACTACTACAGAAATCAGTATGGAGATTCCTCAAAAAACCAAAAGTAGAAATTCCCTTTGACCCAGCTATTCCCCTCCTAGGTATCTTCCCAAAACATTTAAAGATATCATATTACAGTGATATATCATATCCATGTTTGTAGCAGCACAACTCATAAAAACTATACCTTGGAAGTGACCTATATGTCCATCAACAGATGAATGGATAACGAAAATGTGGCATTTACATACAGTGGACTACTACCCTGCCATAAAGAAGCATAAACTTGAGTCAACTATAAGAGAATGGATGCACCTTGAGATCACAATGTTAAGTGAAGTAAATCACACACACTCTTAAATGAGAAACCTAAAATATAAGAGCAAAATAAAAAGAGAATAGAAATAGGCAGATAGGTCTTTTGCAAAGGGAAAAGGGACTGAGCGATGAAGTGGGGGAGGGAAAGCAAATGAAAAAAAAGACTTAAGATTATTATGTACAAGTACCAACTCCTCACAAAGAATGCAGTCATTATGTACTAAAAACATGTATCAATAAAAATAAAAAGAATCACTATATCCTTTAAGCCAGGCACTTGGGAGGCTGAGACACGGGGATTGCTGTGATCTGGAGGCCAGCCTGGGATACACAGTGAGTTCAAGGCCAGCCTGTACTACAAAGCGAGACCCTGTCCCAAAAATAAAGAAAAAAAAAAAGAATTAGTATATCTCTTGGTTGTATCTTCTGTCAGGTTAACTGGTCCAACCAACAAACTGTATTAACAAAGTAACTGTTCAAATTCTAAAAGGCCAAATGCATACCTTGTCTGGCATTCAAAAGCAGTTTTGCTCATATTTTACATTACCCTATTCAACAATATAGCAAATTGATGAACTAAATCTTTTAGTATTCCTGATTAGTTCTGCTCAAATGACATAACACTTAACTTTTTCCATGCCAAAAGTAAATTTTTAAAAAATCTACCACCAGCAAGGTTAGCAGGGTCAGTATCCCTACAATGCCTATGAACATCGAGTATCTCCTCCTTACAATAAACTGTTTCTTCCCGTTTTTAGCCGTCCCCATAACATACAGTTCTCCATATATCCTAATGTCTCCAAAGCACATAGACGTTTTTATTTTCTTTGGTTTTCGTTTTTTGAGACATGGCCTATGTAGTGCAGGTTGGCCTCAAACTCTGTCCTTTCCTGCCTTCACCTCTTGGGTGCTGGGATTACAAGTGTGCGCCACTATCCCTGGCTAGAAATAGTTTTATAATCTAAAAATGCACTAACCGGATTATTCCGGGACATGAATACTACATTTGGCAATTGCTATGGCTGATACTGTGTCAATTTGAGAAGTTTAGTGTGGTGTGGGCGGGTAGATATTATGAAAGGAGGCTTGCTCTCACCCGCTTTTGCTGTCCTCTGCTGCCTAGAACTGCTGCCCTTGTGCCTGCCACCCTATCTTGGAGCCAGCTGAGTATGGACTGAAACTGCCACAAACTGGGAGCTAAATAAACCTTTCCTTCCTTCAATCTGGGCATCAAGTATTTTCTCTCAGCAAGGACATGACACAATTTGGTACCAAAGTTGTTGTGGCTGTACTTGACCATGTGGTTCAACAGCCTTTGGGAACGGCTTGTGGGAAGAGTTTGGAAAGATCTGGAGATGTCCCCTGAAAGCGAAGCGCTGGACCACCTTAGGCTGCTCTGTATGGGAGATTCTGGTTAGAGCTCAGAAGACCAGAGGCTGCTAGCAATCCCGCCCATAAAGACCAGGCCTGGGGTGTTTCTGCTGGGAAGGAGGACTGCACTGGCTGTTGGACTCCAGACGATGCACGGTCCTGCTTAGCAGAAAGTTTGTCTGCAGTTTGCTCATGTTCGGAGACTTTGCCTGAGACTGAGATTAAGGGCGGTAGACTAATTAATCCGGCAGAAGAAATTTTAAGGCAGTTGAACATTGAGGCAGTGGCATGGCTATTGTTGGGGGCTTTTAGCCAGATTTATGTTGAGAATCCAGAGCAAAGAGCCCAGCAGGATGATTTAAAATGTGAGTTTGGTCAGAAAGCAAGCTCCAGTAAAGCTGTGGACTGCGAAGATAGAGCTGAGGAGATCTTGATTGCTGAGAAGGAACCGGAGAATAGAAAAGGTGGCCTGAGGGCATCACAAGCAGCAGCAAGTCTCCGCGCTTTGCAGCCTCACAACTGGTATTTTGTCTCAGCAACAAGAGAAAAGTAACCAAGACAGTAATTCTGCCAAGGCCTCAACTAGAGAAAAATCTGCATTAGGAGGAAGTATCTGCTTACAACCTTAAAGTGTCAACTGGCAGTCTCTAAGGTGAACAAGGAGAGAGACACAGCTACCTAACTAAAGGTGTTTTAGTTTTCCACCGAGGCCTTTGTTGGTTTTGCTGTGTAAATGCTTTTATCCACTCGGCACTTTTTTTGTGACCCCATCCAATGTGTTTACCTTTTCTTAAAACATAAGCCCTAAAATGTAGGCCACCCTGGTTGACATCATGCAGAGAGAGGAAAAATTTGATGTCCAGGTGCTGAGAACCAGATCTAAAAATGTTATTATAATTATTATTATTACTATTATTATTTGTGGGACTGGGGACTGAGTGCAGGGCCTTTGCACTGAGATACATGTCCAGCCCTTTTAAAATTAGTAATATTTTTTGAGTTAAGGTCTTGTTAAATTGCCAACTTTCAATCCCACCGCCCCTAACTCCCAGAGTTCTGGAGTACAGGCACAGCCACCACACGCGGCACAAAATTCTTCATCAGCTGACGAGTTCACACAACTAGGGGCAGAGCCACGAAAGAGGCCGAGACGCGCGGAAGAAGGCTAAAGCACTTTAATCACAGAGAGTAAACAACAGTATGAAACCGTTAACCGCACACCCAGCGGCTGCTGTCCTCCTCCGGCCCCGGCTCTCCCCTTCCCACAGCCGGCCCTGCGTACCGTGGAGTAAAGAGCAGGGCGGCAGCAGTTGTCCCTGTCACTATCGGGTGGTAGGACAGGGATCTAGCTGGGGCCACAGCAAATCTGGCCATCCACCCAAGGTTCCTATTCTGTACAGCTTCATTATAAATAGTCCCTGCTCCAAAAATGAACAATGCAGAAACCTCGTTGCTTCATCCGGATGCTCCAGGAATTGTGTCTCGGGAGCCACGGGCCACGAGGGAGGGAAGAGCCCAGAGACGCACAGTTCAAGGGGCAGCCACGTCTGGGATTGAAGTGGGTTCAAAAGGCTCCAGGCGAGGCCTAGTGGCTCCAGTACAGAATTGTGCCCAACTCAGGCAATGGAACTCATGCATATGCACAAATGTACACACAAACACACGAAACAACACACACACTCGCAGAGCAAACAACATTACTGGAAGGAGCTGGAGGATATTAAATACAAAACGGCAGAGTTTAAAAAAAAAGTGAAAATATTTGTTTCTTTGATTCTCCTCAGTGCCTTGCAGTCCCTTCAGTCACAGGAGCGCAGGTGTGGGGCGGCCCCAAAGGCAGAGGCCGTCAGTGGCCCCGTGTGTCCATGTCTGTGGAAGTCTCCATGCCACTGCTTTACTCCTCGGCCCAGCGGCTGCCTCCCACGTGCCCATTTACCCAGTTGGCACCATTGCTGGAGCTGTTGCCAGAGCGGCTTTTAGTGCTGAGAGTTTCGTCCTCTTCCTCTGAGCTGCTCTCCACATCGCTGCGATCGTCCTTGGACACCTGGAGGAGTGGACCAGCGGCAGGACAGTGAGCAGAGAACCTTTCCTGAGAATGAGCAGACAGACGGAGCTCACGGGGCCACACCTGTGCACTGCTCCCAACCTGTTCTACTTCGTGTGACACCTGACCCCCAGTGCGACCTGGACCTCGGCTACTCTTACGATGTCCTGTGCCCGCTCTCTGGTTTTCTCTCCTGTCATCTCTGATTCTGTTCTCTATGGAACAGAAGCCGCTTTGGCAGAGGGGTTTATCTGTCAGAAGCAGCAAAAGAAAACACATTCACTAAGCCTTGGTTTAGGTTGGAGGGAAACTAACACAATTCCCCTCCTACCTCAAAGAGCAGGGAAGGCCAACTCATACGACTGGCATCTGATTACTTCCACCTTCTGGCGGCTGTGGACACTGCATTTATCCGTATTAGTCATCCTGAGCTTTGCTTTATCCCTAAAGCTGATCCATAATGGGATTTTTTTTAGAGGTGTTGAGCTAAGTCCCTATTTTCCTGGGCTATCAACTATCATTTTATGACATCATTTCCTAATCTCCCCTTTTCATTTGTTT